AAATAAGCACTGCAGACCTACTATGTACCAGCTCTGCGGTCCCAGAGAGCAGAGCAGGCTTGCTTATCTGTGGGAACCAACAGCTGTGAGAACTGGTGCACCAGACAAGTTCAGACACCAAACAGCAATTCCAAAGCATGGAAGTGCCACGAGAGGATGAAAACAGGGACTGTGGGCATGTGCAGTGGGGAATACCAGATACCCACCCCTCTCCCAGGCTGGTTGGAGTGGCCTGGATCAGCTGTGTACTTGTCAGTCTTCCTGATTATGATATTTTAATCCCATCTGCATCTCTTATATCTCAGCACAGGGCCTGACACAGAGAAGACATGCATTTGAAATTTTACATCAGGAAAGATACTCATTTTTATCGAACACCTACTGTGTCCTAGGCTCTGTTCCAAGTGTTGGAAATACAATGCGAACAGCCCAAATCTCTGCCTTCATGAGGCTTACAGTCCAGTGGGACTAGAATATAATTGCATGACTTCTTTACATTGCTAATTAGTGAAGTCACATGCCAAGAAGACATAGGCTGGGAGCTGGGAGTGAAGAGGTAATAGAATGTAGCAAAACTAAATACACGGCCCAAGCAGAATTCTTGGCTTTCCCTGCCTCCCTGTGCCACCATCCCCACGCACCCTCGCCACCCACACACCCACCCCAGCCTGCTCTGGCCTCGGAGTTGCCCATCTCAGTAAACAGACATTAATAGTCATCAATTTCTTCCCAAATGCCCCTAATTACCTTCACTTTTCCCCATCCCATTGCCACTGTGCTGGTCCAACAGCTCAGTAGCAATTGCCTTACTGTCTCCCACCCTGCAGAGCTGGTTCTCACCTTCCAAATCCCACCAGCTTCTGCGACTGTTGTTTATCCTCCAGCCTCCCCTCCATGGTCTCCAAGTTCTTGGCCTAAAACATTTGCTATCATTGTCTTAGGATCAGCCATGCTTCGTATTTTTCCCTCTGAAACTGACCAACCATCTTTCTCATACTTCTGAACCTTTGCACAAACTACTCTCCCAGCCTGAAATGTTCCTCTTCTCAGCTTCCCTTCCACCCTCCACCCACCCCCAGCTTGGCCTAGGTACCTCTTTCTCATTCCTACACCTCAGTTTAAATATCCTGTCCTCAGGGAAGATGTCCCTCGGCCCCTAAGGTTGAGTTTGGTCTCCCTGCCCCACGGCCCCACAGAAGCCTTTGCCTTTCTTTCTTTACCTCGATGTGGACATTCTTCACCTGTCTACTCCTCTTGCTTGTCTGTAGGTTCTTGGAGGCAGGGACTATGTCTGTCAGCTCACCGTCAGCAGGAATTAGCATGGTATCTCACAGACAGCAGGTGCCCAGTTCTTTGAATGAATAAACTTTGGCCTTGTAGTGAGTAACACTTGAAGCAGTGCAAAGTGTTCAAATATCCCCTGTTACATTTACTTGAAATATGACCTTGCACTTGATAGATGACCTCTCTGAGCCTCTGTTTACTCTCCCTATAGGAAAAGTTATAAATATGCATTTGCAGGATTGTTGGGGAGTTACGTGTGAGAATCTGCATGAAAAGGCCTGGCTCCTAGGAGTTCTCCACGAATGTTTGCTAAATCTGTGAATGAGAAGTAAATAGTCTTGGTGCAATACTCTTACTCAGAAAGCTCATATCTTGAGTGAAGACACAGCAGTTAAGGCAGAGGCTCTCAAGCCAGGCTGCTGGACTAGACTCCCAGTTCTGCCACTTACTGTCTGAGCAACCTTATGCCAGATACTTAAACCATTATGTGACTCAGTTTCCTCATCCGTAAAATGAGAATAATGATGGCACCTACCTCAAAGGATCATTGTGGGATTCAGCTTAGGTCTGTGCCTGGCACACAGCACATGCCCAACAAATGTTAGCTGTTCTCATTGCTATTAATGTATTATGCTGACAACCATACCATAATGCTCACATCCATGGTCCTCCTAGAAAGATGAAGAGACAAATTTCCAGAGAGGTTAAATGACTGGCCAAGGACAAATGTGAGGAAATGGCAGCCTTGTGCTTCAAGGCCAGGTCTGCTGCGCCCAAATCCCATGTTATTTTCACTACATCAAAGGAGCAACTCAAAAAAGGCCTGTGGCATTTCAGCCAATTTCCTCTAAGCCCTTCCCAAGTAACCAACTGCAGGCACACAAAGCTGCTCCCCTAAGAGTATCCATTTAGCAGCTACTAAGTACTAAGTGTGCCTGGTGCGCCCCAACCACCTAACGGGGCTTGCACCAAGCCAGCTCTTCCCAGGAAGCCTCACCCGGTCAGCAGAAGGGACCTAAGGAGAAGAACTAGATTGGGGAGGGGAGGGGGGCTGGTACATGAACCACATGGAAGAAGAATCTGGAGGCCAGGTGCTGTGGCTCACGCCTTTAATCCCAGCAGTTTGGGAGTCCAAGGCGGGCTGACTGAGGTCAAGACTGAGGTCAGGACTTTGTACCTGAGGTCAGGACTTCAAGATCAGCCTGGCCAACATGGTGAAACCCTGTCTCTACTAAAAATACAAAAAATTAGCCAGGCACGGTGGCAGGCACCTGTAATTTCAGTTACTTGGGAGGCTGAGACAGGAGAATCACTTGAACCCAGGAGGCAGAGGTTGCAGTGAGCCAAGATCACACCATTGCACTCCAGCCTGGGCAACAGAGGGAGACGCCATCTCAAAGAAGAAGAAGTAGAGGAAGAAGAAGAAGGAAAAAGAGGAGGAGGAGGAGGAGGAGAAGATGAAGGAGAAGGAGAGGAGGAGGAGGAAGAAGCTGGAGAGCAATTTGGATGTAAAAGAGTGTAGGAGAAATAAAAGAAAACCCACACTTATTGAGTGCCTACTATGTGTGAGGCACTTCACATCTACTATTTAACCCTTATTGTGATCAATCCAGACATTGTTCATCAAATATCTACTATGCATAAAGCTACACTCCAGGTCCCAATGACATAACAGTGAACAAGAAATAGCTGTTGACCTCAAAGAGCTTTCAAGTCAGTGAAGAAGACAACACATACACAATAATGTGCTATACAGGCGATGGTGGAGGTCTGAATAGGGTGAGTGACTTGGCGGTGAAAAGCAGAGAGTAGCTGGAAAGAACTTCAGAAAGGAGCAGGTAGGGACTAAAGTGCCCATTTAACAGATGGTAAAACTGAGGCTCTAGGAACTTAACTTGTTTGAAGCCATACCCTTACTGAGTAGCAGAGTCAGGCTGTGCCCCAGGCCCATTCTGTCTCCAGTAGTCTCTGCTCTGTCCATGCTGGCAGGCTAAAAGCTGTTGCTTTCCTCCCCCACCCTTCTTTCTTTTCTCAATGATCATCTGGCCAGAAAATTAATCAAATGCTGCTAAATCTGCAGCTGCTGTCAGTGGCTAAGATGTTAGCAGATTCTGTGGAGAAACAGAAGTTTCTGAGCTTCTGGACTGATTTCTTTTGAGCAAAACATTCAAGGGTTGGTCTAAAAAGGGGAGGGAGAGGAGAAGAAGGGCTCTATCTGCAGTCTAAAGGGACTTTTTGGACAGGTCAAAGACAACCAAGGTGATAGCAATAAGTGAAGGCAAGCCTCTTTGGCTCATGTGACTACCCTGAAGCTTCTCTCCACTCCCCGCAAAAGGCCCAGCCTAAGAGGACTTGGTGTTTGCCCCTCACCTTTTCTTCAAGGACAGAAGCCATGAAAATCAGCCACCTGAGCCACTGGCTGGATGCTAGATTCCCTGCTATATGGGATCAGCAGATCAGATTCTCCCCATTCCAGTTCCTATCCCCATCCTCACAGGACAAGAAATCAAAGTGAAGAAGTCTTCAGCCTGCAAATACAGCTCTTGATGTACCCTAAAGGTACCTTAGCAGAGGTTGCAGAAACCTTGGTTCTGCTCTCCAGACCCCAGGACCCTCTCCCAGACACCAGAAGCACAGCAATTGCCCCTCACAGAAGCCTTTCTCTTCTAAGAAAAGAACAGAGTGGGAGAAAGGAAGTTCTGTGCTGGGTGGGGAAACAGGTAGTTTTTCTATGTCAAGAAAAATGCACTGGTCATACCTGCAGACCAACTCTGAACTGAGAGAAGGAAGTTAAGCAATGGACTTTACACCAAAGAAAGACTGTTTTTAATTCAGTCATCTTTAACATACTCTCTGATAAGCACCAGATCGCTGAGAAATTTTCAAGCAAATAATGTCAAGGGAAAAAAAAGTAGAGGGAGAGAGAAGAAACTATTGAATAATTGAGTTATGGGACTGAAACATCTCAACTCCTCCCACCTCAAGTGACCCATCAGACTCACACGCTCTCCAGGGTCCCCCACACACACACATGCACACACACGAAATAACAAAAACATGTACGCACATCATGTCTCATGTGCAGTCACTCACTTAACTATAAAATTGATCAGAGAAAAAATGTAATCCATAGCAGCGGGAATTAATGTGCTTCTTTCTACCAGAGGTCACATTAAGGAAATGTTGCACACAGAAAAATGAGAGGTGACACTGTAATTAAGCCACAGACAATGATACTTCTGAGAAAGAGGGGAGGGTTTTGGTGTTCCAGTGTTCATAGAATGAAGATTTTTTTATCTCTTCCAAACCAGCTTATGAACGACATAGGAAACTCAGAAGGATTCACATTTCACCCACTTTCCCGGAGAACGGAGAACATGTTTATCCTTGAAATGAAAATCATTGCCCAAGCCCCAGTTACGAGTCGCCCTTTTGCACCCTTTTCCATGAATAATCTTCCCAAAATGTCTGCTTGTAGAAGCAAGATTTGAAATTTCACGGAAAACTACAGGGAGACACAGACAGAGCAATGCACACCCCCTGGTAGCCAGAGAGAGACAAAGAGAGGAGAGAGGAAAACCGAAAGAAGATCCATCTAACGGACTGATAAAATAAAACAAATCTCCAGAAAAGCAAAGTGAACATGATGATTAAACACACACACACACACACACACACACACACACACACACTCACAAAGACATGTTTGTAATTACCCGTCCAGATTACATTCTCACCGCTTCCAAGCAGAGAAACGGCTGGTTGAAGTTTTGTGCCCGTCTGACTGTGAGGGGAGGGTTGTATTTGAAGCTCTGGGCACGTAGAGATGGAATGAGAAGGAGGCTGAGCTGGAAGAAACACCAAGTTGGGGGAAGGGGAGAGAGAGAGAGAGA